CCGCCCGCCATCGCGCCTCTCTTACCCCCACCTCCTCGCCCCGCCGCCGCCGCCTCCTCCTGCTCACGGGGACCCAGGGAAGAGCGGAGGGGGTCTCCTCGTCCCCGGCACAAAACGCCCCGGAGCGCAAGCCTGTTTTCCCAAACCGCGCCGCCTCGGCGGAGAAGCCGAAGGGAGGTTGAGGCCTGGGCCAAGTCGACTTATGGAGGGAGATTTTGTTTAAAACATCCTGGGTTTTTTTTTTCAGCTGCTTCTCTGCCAGACGGTAGTGTTGGGGTGAGGGTGGTAATTTTTCTGAGTTTTTTTCTAACCAGTTTCCTTTCCGTCATGAAATATTAAGAGGAGAGGTTGTGGACACTGATGAGGAAAGCCGCCAAACCACACCACCTGTCCTGGCCCAGAGAGTTCATCTGATATATCAAAACATCGAACTTTGGCAGTTAAAGTTCCTGTCAAACAGGTGGAAGGATGAGTCTCAAAGGCACCCTTAGTGTCCAAGATGGATACCCATCTGGCCCAGTTACGTGTACGTGTTTGTATAGGCTACAGATGTTGTGTGCGCCCGCCCGAGTTTCCAGTTTTTAAAATGATACTGACTCACCTTTGTAATTTCATAAGAAAGCAGAATCTTTGGGGATTTTTCCCCCAGGGGTTTTGCTTCCTGAAGTCCTGCTTCTCTTCCTCTATATATTGTAAAATAGATTTAACCTGCCTTTTGTAAAATCGTTTAACCATTGTGGTTAAACTGCAGTACTGAAGTCAAGAATCTGCTCATGACCTGAGTTTCCGTCATGATGAGCCCAAGTAGCCAGCTCCAGGTTGAATCAGCCTTCCATCCTTCTGAGGTTGGTGAATTGAGCACCCAGCTCATGAGGGGGAGGGGGAGTGTAGCCTGCATGATGAAAAATTGTAAAGTGCCCAGAGAGTGCTTTAGGTTCTGTGTGGCAGTATATAAGCAGCACACTTTGCTTTTTTGCTTTATTGTTTGGTTATTAATTCAGATTGTCAGGGCACACACCCTACTGGAAAGGCATTTTGCTACTTTAGGACTGTCCAAGTATGCACAGTGGCCATGGGTAAGCACTAAGGACTCTTCTTAAAACAGCTCATTGAGAACACAGCAAGCTTTCTAGCCACAAATGTTGGCTGAAAGAGGGTCAAGTAAGAGAGATAGAATGGAGTGTTCCTGAAGAGGCCTCTTGGCTAGAATCCTAAACCAGAGCTTCGTGGTTAGGAGCTAAACTGCATTATAATAGCATAACTCCCACCTCTATGTTTATGTTGTGCAGCATGGCTTCATGATAAGGGGCTATGGTACTTTCATAACAATTGCGCTGTTTGGAACATGGGATGGTAGTGTAGGAAAAGTTTTATATTAAATAAATAAATGCACACACCTTAAGTCAGTTCATTTTATTCAAATTGATCAGATTTTTCTACCTGGGGGGGACTTTTCAACCATTTTTGTTCCAGGCAAATTAAAACTTGGCAACTTAGTCCAGCGCTTGTTTCCTAATGGCTGAAACTCTGTTGCTTAGTATAGTAAATTGCACTACTAGAGTATGCCATTCAGAATAAGCCAAATGTGAGTAGATAAATAGGTACCACCATGGTGGGAAATAACAGCGTTCTGTGTCTAGTCACGCTGGCCATGTGACCACATAAACTATCTTCGGACAAAAGCTGGCTCTAGGGCTTAGAAACAGGGATGAGCACCACGCCCTAGAGTCGGACGCGACTGGACTAAATGTCAAGGGGAACCTAACCTTAAGCCAATTAGACCAGTAGGAATGAGTCAACTCCTCCATACATTTAATTGATTCTAATGGGCCTAGACTTGTTGCAACTTCCTATGCTAAAATAAGTCACAACTAGAGTAGGCCCATTTTAATCAATGGAATTTACCAAATGCCTACTGATTCAGTAGGCCTATTCTACTGCAAGAACTACACTAAAATCATTTCAGCCACTATGTGCTGAGAAGCATAATAATACCATGCTAAATTACTAACAGTTGAGTGAATGTTATTTTCTTATTTCCCTTACAGTATTTGTGAGTTCTTTCATTCTTTACCATTGTCTGTATGTCCTGAGCAGCTGAGAGAAACCAAGTTTCTTAATCATCCCCTCTCTGAAATACAAAGGATTTCAACTGCAGCAGTGAGGTGCTAAACCTGTGCTTCTTCTCCAAAACTGGAGACAATAGTTTTCTCTTGAAGATGTAAAGGAAGCAAACTATTGATTCCCTAAGCAGTTGTTTTGTTTTCCTATATGGTAAGGCTGGCATCTATCTATCTGGATATTTATTTATTGTACATAAAATATTATACTCCACTTTTTCCTTTAAAGGCCCCAAGGAGGCTTGCTTAATTAAACCAACAATATTTAAAAGCTAAAAATATTTAAAATATTTAATATTTAAAAGCCAGGCTGGCCCCATTTTTGCTATCCTTCTGCATGCAAGCAAGCAAGCAAAAGACCTTTCTATTCAGGCAAACCTTCCCTCAGTAACCAGATGCCTATGTGTGATTTTTAGATACGAGATTGTTATGCATTACTGCTTTGACTGATTTTTAGTACTACTTGTATTTTCCATTTCTCAGATGACATTTTTTTAAAAATTGTATACTTATTGATCTTTGCCATAATATTGCCGATTAATGATGTAAGATGCCCCCTTATTCATTGTTTGTAGTTTTTAAATATTATCTTTTAATGATGTTAAGATTGCTGGAAGAAATAGCAACAATCTGAAATATGCAGATGATACAACTCTGATGACAGAAAGTGAGGAGGAATTAAAGAACCTCTTAATGAGGGTGAAAGAAGAGAGTGCAAAAATGGTCTGAAGCTCAACATCAAAAAAACTATGATCATGGCCACTGGTCCCATCATCTCCTGGCATATAGAAGGGGAAGATATGGCGGCATGGACAGATTTCACTTTCTTGGGCTCCATGATCACTGTAGATGGTAACAGCAGCCACGAAATTAAAAGACACCTGCTCCTTGGGAGGAAAGCGATGACAAACCTAGACAGCATCTTAAAAAGCAGAGACTTCACCTTGAGGGAAAGTATGGAAGCAAGAGGAGAAGCGGACGACAGAGGACAAGATGGTTGGACAGTGTCACCGAAACTACCACCATGAATTTGACCAAACTCCGGGAGGCAGTGGAAGACAGGAGGGCTGACATGAAGAGTCAGACACGACTTAACGACTAAGGAACAACAACAATGATGTTAACCACCATTGTATACTCATTGTTTTCAACTTTAAATATTGTCTTTCATTGTTGTAAACTGCCTTGGGTTCTTTTCAAGGAGAAAGGCAAGGTAAAAATATTTTAAATAAATAACTAAATAAAAGCAGTCAATATACAAATATTTTAAATAAATTAAACAAATATTATATCAAAACAGTAAATAAAATCAAGATTAAAAACACATTTAAAAAACAACTACGCACAACAATTCATTAAAAAAATTGTTTGACAGCCAGTCATTAATGGAAAGCCTGCCTGAAGAGAAAGGTCTTCATCTGCTTGCAGACGGACAGCAAGGATATCAATCTCTGTGTGGCACCTACTGAATAGCAAGCACGGCTGATGAATCTCACCAGTTTAGAATGGCTTAGTAGCTTAACTCCCCATGCAGGAAAATGACACACAGTTTAGCCAGAGGTGCAGTAATTTTATGGACCTGCTGTTTTTGTAGGAACCATTCTATTTTTAAAAGGTTGAGTGAATTGCATTACTTCCTTCAAAATGTGATGAACTAGGTCTGCTTTGTACTCTTCCTTATTCTGCTGAGCCTCCTGCAACATCATGTGCTGATAAGTGACAGTACGGTACCCACCTTGCAGATTTTTCAAAGGAGATGGAAAAAGTGCTTTTCAGATTTCAAACAGGAGGAGTAAAGATCTTGGATGGCTACTTTCCCGTATTTATACAGTAACATCTGAACAGAATGTCTGTTGCTGTTTCTCAACAACTATTAAGCCAAAATCAAGTGAGTTGGCTTTCTATTTCTTTAATGCCTTCCCTCCCTTCTGGCATTTTTTTGCCCATGGCCTGATGAAAACAGGCTAAAATTTCATATGAGTTGAGGAGTATGAGCTAACTGGACAGCTCAGTGGTTTGGGTCTCCTGCTGCAGAACCAGAGGTTGGCGGTTCAATTCCCCCAGTGTGCTTCCTGCAAATACAGCCACCCTGTATGGCTTTGGGCAAGTTGCATAGTCCTGGGTCACCCTCAGAAGAAGGGAATGGTAAACCACTTCTGAGGATTTTGTTCTATTGCACTGTATTACTTCCAAAGAGATGTACATTTTTATGTAAGTGAAAGTTAAATTCCTTCCCAGCAACAGCATTCCTAATGGCACCTCACTCGCAGAAGCAATCTGGGGGCTTTTGTACAGTAGATAAATTCACCTGAATTGTCAGTCTACAAGCAGCATCCTAAATCACTATTTCAAAATGATTTCGCATAGCTGAGAGAACTTCCACTATGCTTCATATCAGTGTTGTTATTTTCTTCCTTTCCCCTGCTTTTACTTTTTAAATGCAATCTCAAGGAAAAGATATGTTGAATTGTTTTGAAGTTCTTAGCTGACTTTAGTAAAAGTATTATGACAATGTTCCTTTTTGAATTCTTCCCAGTGTCGTTCATCATAACTGCTAGCATTGTTGTTGTTATTCCACTTTACAAGGCATTTTATAATTATGAGGAAGGTGGAGCTGAGTTTAATCTCTGGCTTCCCAGTGTTTCCATGGAAACGATAACAAGCTGGAGAAGCTTGTCTCAAATTTCACAATCTTCCAGAAAGCTACATCTCCTCACCTACACAGAACATAGGCTGGAACCTTTAAGGTGAAGAAAAGAAGGGCAATCTCTATACCCTTAAGGATTGTGGAATGAAATCATGCATGCAGTCTTGAACAGAGAAGAGAGGACAAGCAACAAAGGTTCCTTTAGCAACTGGTCAGCATGATATGCTTCACAAAAATCTGCTTATTTTAAATAACTAAGTAAAAATTAAAACAAGGTTAGATTTTATAAAGATACTGGATAATTTTACTTCAAGTAGCCTGGGAAAAATTATTATTTGCCCTTAAACACAGCAAAACAGAAACGACATTGTGCACACATAACAGGACAATCTCTGAAGATAATGTAAGAAAAGCCCAAGGTGTATTAAGCCTTGCATACTCTTCCTCAGTGGCCAGAGGCCTACAGAAAATCTGCAGGCAGGACTTTCTGTCCTATGGATACACCCGATGACAATTTCTATATTCTCCAGGCAGCACAGTCCTTACTGGACATGCAATAGCGGGAGCTGCAGTCCAGCTGAACCCATGTCTTGATAAAGAACAAAGTACTGTGGTGATAAGGGAGTCGTTAGCATAAAGATATGCTGTGCCACATTTTTCAGTGAATTGTAACAATTTTAAACTGAAACTTAAAAAGTGATTTAAAATGTATTCTGTTTTAATAATAATTGATTTAATTGTTTTTTTTATAAGTTATAATGTATTGCTCTTTAACTGTATTTAGTTTTTCAATTTTCTTATAAGCCATTTAGATTCCCAGTTTCTTGGAGAAAGGAATGATGCAAATAAAATAATAAGCAAATAAATGTTTTAGGATTTAAAAATAAGTTCCATTAAAAATAAGAATTAAGCTACGTAAAAAGTAACTGATGCCCCCCAAAGCATGGCACTAATGAATGAAATCTTCCTTTCTAACCTGTTTAGCCCATAAATGGAAAAGACATTGTGCAGACACACATATTATGT